GAGGAATATATGTTCGCTTTCTCAGCTGCTGAGCTCAGGAGTTTCCTATACAGTGTTGGACGAATATATGTTCGCTTTCCTCAGCTGCTGAGCTCAGGAGTTTCCTATACATTGTTGGAGTAGGAATATATGTTCGCTTTCCTCAGCTGAGCCCGGGAGTTTCCACAGTTGTAGAAGTTTACATACGAATTCGGGTAGAGGTGTACAGAAACCGACAAGAATTTCCCAAAAATTCCCCGAAATTTCCATATTGTCACCAAAAAATCTGAGAATTGCCACTCAATTTATTCTTGTCTTTATTATTTTTCAGATTGTTCCATAGTAGTATAATAAAACTTGTTGATATTATAGTGCCGGAGGATCTGCTTAAGTTCAACGATATCTATTTGGAAGTAATGAGAGATGATATTAGAGACTTGGAAAACTAATAATTTCAATGCTTTCATTATTTTAATAATTTCTATAATTTTGATAATCTTCATAATTATAATTTTTTTATTGTGTATGGACATTTCTGAAGGTATTTTTTAAATTTGGCATTTTTTTTATATTTATAAAATTGAATTTGGTATGATAATTATATTCGGTATGGCGTATTGTAATATTGGTGAATATTTTAAAAAAGATTCGTGATATTTGCAACCGAGCATTATGTAAAACACCTTATTATTACCGCGCGCCACAAAACGATAAACGCGCTGTTTTGGGACAGGTGAAAATATCCCCTTTTGGATGCCCCGGCAATCGAAAACTCCGAAACCGAATATTTCGGTTTCGATTCGGTTTCGGTCGATGGACCGACCGAAACCGAACGGCGAGGTCCATCTTGAAACCGAAACCGAAAAAAACCGAAATATTCGGTTCTTCGGTCTTCTTTCGGATTTATAATGTACTACGGCATTTTTCCAAAAAAAAACACAAATTGAAGGCCTCATTGTCCACAGACAAGCTGTAATCATCGCATTCTTTGCAAGTTTCTGAATCCGATAAGTGTGCTCGGTTAACACAATGATAGTTACCTCACGAGGGTTGAAATATTATTATTGAAGGAGCTACACAAGGTGGCCACTGGGTGGCCACCGGCTATGCCACTATGGCATAGACTCCGGAGTAGTCCGTGCGTATGACGCAATACGTGATAGTGTTTGGAACGGTAAATTTCCAACCGTTATTTCTATAGAACGCCAGTGCATGTTCAGAAACTTGATTAGTTAGGCATGCCAGCTAAAACAGCTACGTGAATATTATCCACTGATTGAGCAAGTAACTGGCGGTTCCATTGGAGTCGCTCCAAGGAGCAAAAATCCATGGCTTGGATTCCATGGCTAGATTGAGCGGCCCAATAGATGCGTGCATAGTAGGTCACCTAACAACAAGAGTAGTAACTCATGATCTCTGATGAGTAGTACATTTTTGCTCCATCCTTAAAGCACTGCCCGGACAACCGATTGCTACTTCGCACCACCATAGCTGCCTTGATAAGGTCACATTCCATTGAAGTACGGCGAACAGAGATCTGTTCACGAATCTGCGAGAACAGGCTCTCAACGTTTGCAGTAGATAGCAACGTGTGCTGCACACCAACTGCAGCGTGGGCTATCAGTGGAAACTCCTCGCGAGCGAGGACGGTCCAGAATTGCTGATAATCGGTCCCGTGAGCTTCAAGACTTAAATATTTATCAACCTCATTTGTCACCCTGCAAACGAGATCATTCCCCATATCGGGAGGAAGATATTGTGGGAGAACCGAACGATCCAGAACTTTATCGGTTAGGCTGCGGCGCCTAGTAGGGGCGCCGTCAAGTTTATCTTGAGACTTCGACGATACTGATGGACCACAGGTGACAGCACTAGCCTCTGCGCTGACTCTAGTGGCAGTACGCCTCGTAGATTCGAGTACCGGGCCGGAGTTGGCGTTCACCACCCACGTTGTGAATGCAGAGATTAACGCATCACGCTTGAGAAGGTCACCATGAGGTAGATGCCTATACAGTTGATGATAATGTTGGATGACCGCGAGCCGCCCCAGGTTCTGCAGCTTAATAGCTGGGTCAAACATGCCCGGCACCAATGCGTCAGCCGTCAGACGGCTGAGCACCTAACAACTTGAGTAGAGGCGTGAAAACCAAGGCCATATCTTGAGCGGCAGACTTTTCCCACCTTCAGTTCAAAGCTCTCCCTCATACTCTCTCGCGCTTGCCGGATGATATCCAGTTCCGACTGCTGAGGCTCGTTGAGGTGACCCCACAGTTCATCGAGGTATCTAACGGAGGAAAACGATAAACTCGAAAAATTAGAGAAACGTGCCCCCTATATTAGCTCGTGTATGCCAAATATCTACCCGATCGTTACAGTATAGTGGCGCATCCCACATCGGCCGCCTGGGTCTGCATCACATCACACGCCCGCTTGAACGGTAACAAAAGATTCTCCAATTGGATCAGCGTATTCTTTTGTGAGAGCAATCGCTGGAAGCTTCTAAAATAAAAACAGCGTCCAGAGA